AAACAAGTACCTACAATGTGCTCTTTTCAGAGCCAAGCCTTTATATGAGTGCCAGAAGCTCAGAGACTTTTAGTCTGACGGGGGAAATGGCTCAGTGGTAGAGTGTCTTGTTCGCACATTGAGAGCTTTTACAGTGATCATATGTAGACCTCGAGAAGGTCCGGGGTTCAATCCCCCGTTTCTCCAAACGGACGCGTTTTTTTCCTCCATAACGCGCATGACGAGTTGCGCCAGGGTGCATATCCGACCCTCAAATGCGTATCTGCACGTGTCTCTGGGATGATTACTGGACTTGTGGGAGCTTGTATAGCTTGCTAGCTTGCCTGAGAAAGGTGTCAATGCATCAGATCAACGCAAAGCACGCTTGGCAGCGTGCTTCTGCCCGTTTGTGTGCATCACCTTTTTGGTCCACACCGCCCTCTTCCTGGACCAGCGTCTTTGAATGTGCACCAACGCGTGACTTACCGTCTCAACTCTTCTTGAATAGTCGCAAAAGAGAGTAGCAAATTGCGCCAGTTGCGATCTTGAAAGACTTGCACATACGATGGATGGCTTTGTTTGCATGTACGACAGATTGCTTTGGGATCATTGGGACTGTAAAGAAGCAACCCTGCTCTGCCTCCAGATCAGTGGCTTATGCGCAATTGTAAAGAAGCAACCCTGCTCTGCCTCCAGATCAGTGGCTTATGCGCGCGCACCTTCAAATGCTCTCAGACATTTGCCACTGCGCGCCAAGCACTCAAATGACTCCCAGACATCCACTACTGCGCAGTGTGCATCACTCTGACTCTCAGACAGAGACCCTTCTGTCTCTCCCTCATTCCCACTCTGCGCCTCACACACACCTTATGCATAGCAGTGACACTCTCTCACTGTTCATGCAGCCACAATGACTCACATGCGCCAAGCTTTGACTCTGACTCAGAGACGCCGCGCCAGTGCAGGAACTCTGCTTCATCCTCCTTTCGCTCTGCCTCTCAGACATTCTCTCACACATCCAAGAGGGTCTCTCACACATAGTTCATGCAGTCAGAATGTCTCTCAGACATTCATATGCACCTCATGCATAAGAATGTCTCTCAGACATTCTCCTCCACATTTCACTCTGTCTCTCAGACATTCATATGCGCATCATGCATAAGAATGTCTCTCAGACATTCTTCTTCACATTTCACTCTGCTTCAGAGACATTTCACTCTGCTTCTCACACATTCTGCTACACAACCCACTCTGTCTCTCAGACAGACCTGTAAGGTATATATAGAGGCCCCCCAAGGCCTCTCCCACTTTGCAATACAACCTTTCCTCACCCAATCTTCCTGCCCTCTTCCTGGACTGACCTCCTCACCTGACCGCTGCCCGACACTGGCCTGATCACCCAGCTGTCTCCCACTCACTTCCTCCTTCTCCACAGCCTGCCGCCGTCGAGTTCCGCCGTCTAACAACAGCTAGCCCTCTGCTCAATTGCACAAGATCCTTACTTGCGCCGGCGCACGTCTTCATCCGGAAGACGCGTCGTTACAGGGACACCTGGATGTGCAAATACTAGGTCCAAGTATAGATGGTGATGAGTCTAACAGATTGGGGTCTTGCCCGCAACATCTGTTCCGCGTCGAGAAACAGCTTACACAGGATGTGCAGCCTCCAGGTCTCCTCAAGCATAAACATGGGCTTGGTTTCAGTCAACCACACAAGCTTCAGCAGGGCTGGGAGCACAGATAATATTGACTGACACTACAACAGCTTGCCATTGGCTTACACAGGCGTCTATTCTGTAGTTATCATGACTTGGACCAAGCTTGTCACCAAAGAGACACAAAATGTGAAGTAGTGTTTCTATCAGACATTTACTCACACGGCAGTGAGAAGTGCTGTGCAGCCCACAATTTGTGCTCAGCAAGCTCCTGATCCCTTTCTTGTTTCTTCTGTGCTGAGCTGAAAAGACATCTGTACTCTTGTCTACTGGAATTCTGGAGCAGCTTAGCACACTTGAAAGCTTGCCTCTCAATTGACCCCATTGGGACAGGCGCTGGCCCAGAGCCTTCTGAGCTTCAGATGTGCATTAC